TACACCATTATCAAATAAATAAAAAATGAATAAAGACAAAATTCGCGAAAATGATATCCTTGAACTGCATAATCTTTACAGAAAGTAACACATATGTTGTAAAGATAAATTTGGGGTCAATGAGATTATTAAAAAAAAACAATAATTCTTCATTGGTGTTATCAGCAGTAGGCGAAAAATCATATTATAATCTTTAGGTAACCAAATCTCGAAAATATTATATGAATTGTACCTATGTATGTGGTATGTTATTATCAATATTGCACGCAACGTTTTGTAGATTATCTACCTGATACGTTTCATGATCATTTCTAGTAACTATGAATTCAATTGTCTATCAATTATTGGTTGTGAGTTTATCAATTTTCTCTTAATTCTTTTATCTCTAATCTCTATTATTCGCAATTAATATCACTATTATCTTTCAATAATTTTCCACCTGCACAAAAGGAAGAAATGGGGTTTACCGGGTTTCCGTTCCGTACATGCCGAGTTTATTTAAGCCACAATTATTTTCCCGATCGTACTTTCTAATAAAAGTTGGTAGTGGGCAATTTCCATCTTGTCTTTATCGCATCTCAGGGTCACAGCTAGATTTGACAAGCTGTAAATGAAATAGGATACACTTACGGGGCGAGGTTATGGGGCGAGGTTATGGGGCGAGAACGAGAAAAATCTCGCTTGGAATTCGAATCACTTTTGTTTCTAAACCTTCTCGCCCTGTGAGTTGAAGGCGTAAGATGCTCATGTGTCTTAGAATTCTAGTCTCTCTCGCTACAAAACTTTCTCGCACGGTAAGTGGAGGACCTTAGTCAAGGCAAAAGTAGACTGAGAGCTGAGGCTGAGAGCGAAAAAAATCACCCCGCTTCGAAACCTTATCGCTTGGTGAGTGGAGGGCAGTGAAAATGAATCCTAGTTAGATCCACACAAAAACTGATTGGCGACGATTAAGATCGACAGATGAGTTTTCTTCAGATATGATTCAAAAGTGAATATATTATATCAGTTACATAAAGAAAAAAATGTAACTACTGGTATATAACGTCGTATAACTAAATGTATTGTATCATTTTTTAAATTTTCTGAGACATCGTGTATATCAAAGTACCTCATATACGTCTATATTCACCAGCTAGCTGAAAAATATTGACTAAAACAATAAACCTAATTGAATTTCAATTTATAATAACAAGTTTTTCAGACTGTTGTCGTGCAACAACACACTTCTGTAAATAATTGATGATTTATTTTGGAAAAAATACAAAAATTAAGTTTGATAGACGTACACGTCAGCTGAGAGAGAAAGAGAGAGAGAGAGAGAGAAATTTACACAGATTAACATATTGTGTTAATCTAAAATATATAGACAGATATATAGATATATAGATATATAGGCATGCTATTCTAATGATGGAATAAGAAAGACTATTTTCTTGGATTGTGTTCTGCCAGAATTATTTCTAACTCAATTGTTAATTTTGAAAATATCGTTCAAATATATTACTGTTCGACTGTTTCACAAATACTTTTCATAAGACTTCAAAAAGATAAACCCATTTCATTGTGTTTTGATTTTCATAAACTTATATCCTTAGACTCTGTGTTGCTATTATTGAGAGTAAAATAATCGTTACTTTATTATTTTCGTATCTGTTTGTTTGTGGCAAGAATTATTGAAGTGCTTTCCATAAAACGACATGTATATATTATACTATATGAACTGATATGAAGCCGTAATTCTGAATAGTATACCTATCGAATGTCTCAGGTAGACAATCGGCTTGATCGGGAAATTCGTAGATTATATTTAATTTCTTATTTAGAGAAGCCTTTGAAATCTTCATAAAAAAATACTATCTTGTCAACTGTGCGTGGGATGTGCGTTGAATGCGAGTAGTATGTTTGCATATATCACCGATGATGTCTGATAATACCAGCCCGTATTTTGTTCTCTTTAATCGTGACTCCGGCCTGTGTTCTTATATATCTTGTCAATTGTTTATCTGTATATTTGGATACAATCCTGACGTGAATTAGGTTCATTTTGATGATTTGTGAAACATTTTATCAAAATTTAAAGGTTTCTATATTTGGTAGATGCCTCCTACGCTTTTTGGGGGGATGAAGTGAATGAATGGTAGGTACCTATAGACATTCCAGCAATATTTTGTTGACTAAGTGTTTATATATACAGGGTTACCCAAATTCTAGTTAATGTATGGGGATCTCGTAAATGGTAAGAGATAGGGGATAGATTAAGTTGTGGCAAAGTTGTATATTTTTGTTTTTTTTTGGATGCTATTGAACGAAACAGAAAAATCGACTCGTCTTTTCGGTTCCGGAGATATACGGGAAAATCCATGGTATGTTATCGAAAATGTATCGCAAGGTATAATCGCCAGGAAAATTTCTTTTCACAAAAATCCAAAAACAACTCAAGTTTGTTTGTAAGGTAAAACAGTTTTGACACAAAAACCATTGCAAAGTCTTCGAAGCTGTCATCCCCCAAACTTTTTTATTTGAGAATAATTTTAGATTCTCTATCCGTTGCTGAAAACAATGTGTTTACTTAAAAATACTATTTTGATCAAGTGAATGTTGAAAATATTACAATAAAACAATGTATCTCCATACCATTGTCGTTTATTTTAGAGAACTTGCGGTGTCACTTCGCGATATATATCAACAATTCGTCATCACAGGTCTTCCAAGGACTCAGCAGTGCGATACACTTAGTTTTGACTATGTCACCACAGAATAAATGAAAGGACTCCAGTCTGGTAACCAAAGAGACCACTCAATAATTGCACCACACGAAGCGCCGTGTTGTAACATCATTGTCTCTTCAGAGTATGCAGGATTATTCTCTATGATATAAGTAAGATATAGATTGATGACATTTTGGAGGTGCCTCTTAAATATCCAGGAAGAAAACAACTAGTTATGAAGGTATTTCCAAAAGTACCAGCTCCCGTGCTCAACTTTTAAAGGCTGATTTGTGAGTGTGTAGTTCGTAAATAACTCTGGGATTACTATCGGCCCAGTAACGTCGATTATAGCAATTAAATACCCAGTTCAAATTACGCGAGTTACGCGAGAAACACACATTAAAAATTGAATTACCATTTCATATTGTTCGGTCACTTATTCATTTAGTTCTTGCCCTAACCGAATCTTATATTGATGGAACTTGTATTTTTTGATATTCGTCGGGTATTTGTACGACTCACGCTTCTCGTAGTGGCCAATTTTCCTGTTGTTAGCTTACTATCCATTGCGATTAATCCCGATATATCATCAAGTAGCGGATTTTCAACCTGCCTCAGTTTATTTCGAACAAATCCAATTTGCTACCAATTAGCAAAAAATTTTCCCCCAAAAAGTTGTCAATCAGAATGTCTTTGTTTAAATAACTTGGCAATAGGATTTCGTCAATTATTATTTTTGAAATAAATTTCAATTCTTTCTATCCTCTTAGGGATTGAGTACCCCATAACTAATAAATTCAAACGAGTATAAAATAACTTCGTATTGAAGAACACTTCAGAACAATTCACAAGACAGGCTAAGCCTATCTGAATCTTCAACAAGCAAAATTCTGATACTCGCTGCAAGGTAAAAACTGCAAATTGATTGAGAGAAATTTATTGAAATCAAAATTAACATGATTAGTTTTTTTCAAAACCAACTCAACTTTTAAATTTTTGGATAATCGCATTGTTGGTATCTTCTAAACGAGTGGGGAGATTTTCAAAAGCGAATATAATATTTCCTTCTCCTCCAGGAGGAGGAAATATTAAGAGCAGATAGTCGTTGGTTCACAGATGGATCAAAAACATCTTTCGGTTCTGGTGCAGGTGTTTTCAGTAGCAGACCCAGGACAGAGTTATCTACCTGCCTAGGAACTTATGCGACTGTATTTCAAGCGAAAATTTACGCAATTGAATTGTGTACGGAGAGATTGGGAGAATCCAACCTCATACACAAGTCAATAAATATATTCTCGGACAGTGAAGCGGCGTTGGAAGCTCTTGGGTCCTACCGAGCAACGTCTAAATTGGTAGCAAATTGCCAAAAACGACTTTCCTCGATAGAAAGACTCAACAGATTGTTTCTGGTACGGATTCCTGGCCATACTGGCCTGGAAAGCAATGACACTGCTGACTCCCTTGCAAAGGAGGGTGCTGCAAGCAGCTTCATCGGACCAGAACCTGTCCAGGATAGGCTCACTCCAAGGCGTTTTTTCATCCATCGAATCTTGATACCAAAGAGTTGTTAGACTACAGTAAGGATGAACTACGATGTCTAACAGGCCTTCTTACAGATCACTGTCATTTCAATCATCATATGCAGAGACTCGGACTGTCGGAAGACGTTGTTGTGTATCGCCTCTGTTTGGAAAATGATCCAGAGCACATACTGTGTGCCTGCCCCGCTGGGGGACTAATTAGGTTTTTAGACTTCGGCAGAGCCGTACTCGTACCATCTGACCTGAAAGACCACTCACTATACAAACTAATCGGTTTCGTTAAGAAGTTGGGTTTATTTGATCGAGTGTGAATATATGTGCGCCACAATAAACCGTTGCGGGTTGCGGTGAAAGGTCCAATAGACCCACTCACTCTAGACCTAACCTAACACGACAGAATCAAAATCCCTTTTCAATCACTCAATCCCCCTTCCCATAAAAAAAATGGGCGGTGACATCCCCGTTTGGAGGGTGGAAGGTCAAAACTTGTAGTTCTCACAAACGTGACGTGTTTTTGGATGTTTGCGAAAAGTTCCTTTGTTCTTTGGATAGTCCATTCTGCATGAAATATTATTTGTATTTCAATAAAAAACACATTAACAAAAATCATTCGTATTCGTAATAGTCAAATTGAGTGGGTCCAGATAACAAATGAAGCTTGAGGTCTGTCGACACGCCAATGAACTTCAAAATATCAAGAGAATGGTCTGATTAAAATTATATAACAAACGATAATAAAAGAACTACATACCTATTTAGTGTAATGGCCACCATATTGAGTACGGAAACTGCGACATTGCCATAAAACAACACCGGAAACAATTGGCATAGGGCGTCCCCAAAAATCCAAGCCTCGTAAATGTATCTGGCAGCCGTTAGAGGAAGATTGACTACGCAGAAAATCAGATCCGATATACAGAGCGACAGAACGAACGCTGTTGTAGCGTGTACCCGCAACTTCGGGCATCGTATCAGGGCTAGGACGGTGATGGAGTTACCTGGAACAAAAAACTCACTGTAAAATCAAAAAGGCTGCTTAAGCCAGTTTCCTTCAAGAGCTGACAACTTATTTCATCAGAAATCTAAATATAACGTCAGTAAAATAGTCAATTTTATAAATTTCATGAAAATCTATATCTTAGACTAATTCATCAATTATTTCAAACCGTGTTGTGAACAGACTTCAAAATAAAATCAATTGTTTGAGAATTCTGGATTTATTTCCCAATTCACATATTATTATTTAGATAGTTTAGTTGATTTCAAGCCCTTGTTCAGTTTTAAAATTTCAGTAGCTGATAGGTGACTGTAATGGGGAAATATTTGATAACCATCTCAGGAATTTTCGAGAATGTTCACAGGAATGAATTTTGAGACATTTCTTCCTCAAGCTGAAACAAGTAAATTTTCTTTGTCATGTAATCTTGGAGGATGGAATCTTACTTGATTCATACGTTTACTTTCTAAAATTTGTAAGAGACTCTGATGGAGAAATCACCAAACACATTTATCGTTTAAGAAAACATAATACTCAGTTGAATTGAAAGAAACAATACTTATTAATTTTACACTAATCCGGCTCGAAGGACCAATGTTTTGACGTACGATTGTTTTATCGTCCGTATTTGAGTTACACACAAGACTTGCACTAAATAGGGTAGCAACCGCACCAATTTTAGTTGAAAGTAAAGCTGAACACGTGGTATTTTGTTAATCAGCAAATGATTAGGGAATAGAGTACAAAAACAGCCTAAAAATATGGCATGAAAAGGCTGAATTCTGGGAAGTTCTGCTAGATATAGCTGGACATAAATTTTGATATAGCACCAGTGTAGTCACAATTCATGTGAAGGTACGATATTTATAGCATAAATACAATAATGGATTTAAAGTAAAATTCAGGCGGTGGTTCTTCAGAAGACAGTAAGATCACACAAAATATTTCATCCGCCTTTTATCATCGTTTATCCAGATATTATATTTAGTTAGAGCAAATAAGTTTTAAAATACTAGGGTAGCGCCGCGAAACAACACTCTGTAGGTATATTAAATATACTCACATATGCCAATTCAATTATTTCGTTCTCCGGTTAAAATGAACGATTTCAATTGTGGCCTGGGTCTGCGAATCTTATGGAAAAAAAAGGAGCTACGGAAAAAACCGTATCGTATGTTTCGGTCGACGGAACAGTGATTGGGTAGATTTTGGATATATTGCATGAATAGTGCGTATTACGTATCGTTATTAACGGATTCTCCACTATTTGCATTCCAAATCGACGAATTTCATTTTGGATTATAGTATTTTTTTTATATCGCCGGATTCTCTTTAAAATAGAGGTTAAGTCTATGGTATATTAGTATTCAACGTCTCAGGGTTGCGTCGGGATTTTGCACATGAGGTGAGTTGTCGAAAATTATATTCTGTTTTACATTACGTATTGTCTCGATCAGATCGTAAGGCGGCGGTTACATTGGATACGAATTCGTACGAAAATTTAGTCTTACGAATTCGTACGACTCCATTATTACGAATTTAATAGGCGTGTGTGGTTACATTGGATGATATCAGTCCATACGAAAACAGTAGTGATTAGGGATTCGCTATCAAAGTTTTATCAGTTTGAATCATCACCATTAGTGAAATATTTGTTACTTACTGAAAGAAAAAAGAAGAAAATGGGTTGACACATATTTTTTATCCAGAAATGGAAAGGGAGAGTTCGGAAGGTCATATGAAGAATTAAGAAGAAATAATGAAAAAATTTTCGACTACACGAGAATGACACAATCCACATTCGACTATATATTAGAGAATATCGAGAGTCACATTTCTAAGCACTCAAATTTCCGGGAGTGCATATCACCAAAGCATAAACTGATTCTAACATTAAGGTAAGTAAAAATGTTATTTTCATTAACGTACATTATAATTTATAAATTATCAAAAAGTATTTGGCTGAAAGTTGGCTGAATATCCTGTTGCAGTACCATCCGTATAGTTAGGAATAAAACCAGGTGAAGATCGTTTGTGTGCTGTACAGGAGTCGGTGGCTGTGAGTATTCTGTTGAGGTAGTACTATATATCGGTAATGGACGTGGGATCGGAATAAACTGACGAGAAGTCGATGGCTGCTGAGTTTCTGGAAAAGAAACGGTTTCATGTTCCTGCATAACCAACTGTAAGATTTTCGATCTAAGAAAAAGCTTTCTATACACGGGCAGTGACTGAATATATGGGAGGAGACTTAGTAGAAAGTAGGTGTCATCATCCTGCTTATGCTCCAAATGCTGCTTGAATTGTTGTAATTTTTCTTTTTCAATGTGCATCAGTTCTTGTATTGCGTTATCTTTAACAAGTTTTGTTTTTTTTTGGGAAGGATTAGTTTTGTTTGATTTTGAGTGATCCGTTGCTGGCCTCTTCTTGTTATTGGAGGATGATTGTTGGTTTATTTCAGTTTCAATTTCTAGTTGGGAGAGATCGCCGGGTTCAATTTCCAGTTGGGACTGATCGTCAGTTTCAATTTCTAGTTGGGACTGATCGTTAGTATTCATTGGACCTACTGTTGCATCTTCTTCCGTCTCAGCACCATTTGAATTCTGTGTAGCATTTTCAATGTTACCTGTTGTTTTCCTGGGTGTAATCTGATCTTTTAAAAAGAGCATATTTGTGAAATATTGCCAATTTAATTGTGGTTCCTCATCAGCACCATCTCCAGTCCTTTTTTGGTCCAATTTAGAAATTTCCTTCCTGAAGGTATCACGTAATCCTCGCCATTTTTGACGCACATCATCTGAAAAAATTGAAATAATTAATTATTTGAATTCTTCAACCTTTACATATTTTGTTTTAGGTATCTTGGAACTGGAGCTACTTTCGATCATTGGGATTTTCATTCCGAATGTCACATACAACTATTCGACAAGTGGTTTATGAAACCTGTGATATGGAATAATTTAAACCAAAAGCATATGCCTTTTCCAACAGAATCAACGTTTTCATCCATTGCTGAACAGTTTTATACAACATGGAAATTTCCCAATTGTGTAGGAGCAATTGACGGCAAGCATATTAGAAATATATGTCCTGCGAAATCTGGGTCATTCTATTTCAATTGTAAAAAATATTTTTCGATTGTGCTTCAAAGTTTGGTGGATGCGCGATATAAGTTTATAAGTATTGAAGTTGGAAGTTATGGAAAGCAGAGTGATGGTGGTATTTTCACTACTTCATCGCTTTACTATCATCTTGAACAAAATACATTCTGTGTACCTGGATCGAAGACGTTGTCGGGTACAAATTGTTCCACACGTTTTCGTCGGAGATGCGGCCTATCCATTAAAGCCGTATCTAATGAGATTTTTTCTGGACAAAATATGTCACAGGAGCAAGAAAAATTCAATTACTGCCTTTCCCGAGCAAGGCGCCTTGTCGAATGCGCCTTTGGTATAATTACCTCAAAATGGAGAATTCTAAAAACGGAAATTGAAATTGTTCCTGACAAGGTCGATTTAATTGTGAAATGTATTTGTTTGTTGCATAATTATTGATTTGGAGGAAAACTCAGAAGTCATTCAAAATACTGCCCCTCAACAAACACGTGATCGAACCGTTGGAACACGAAGTTTTAACAGAGCTACTCGTACTGCCTATGACATTAGGAACAAATTTATGCAATATTCCAACACTCATTGAACACAATTTGAAAAATAAGACAGTTATGTAGTGTTAAAACAAAAATTATTCTTGAATAAATATAAATAGATAACGGAAATACATACCTACTAGTTTCATTTCAGTCGCTACTTCTTTCCATAATTTTTTGTTTAACTCTCTGTTGTGATACTGTTTGTTTTTTTGATCCCACAGGGATCTTCTTTCGTGTACTAACGTTATCAATAATTCGCAATCCATGTCACTCTGAAAACACTAGAAAATGCAAGCTAGTCGTACGAACACCTATGAAAGAAACAAAATAGTTTGGTCGTATAGAAATCACGTACGAATTCGTAGCAAATGGTCGTATATAATATAACCACAACCATGTCAATAAACGCATTCGTTTACTTCCGACGTTTTCTAACGAATTCGTACGATTACATTTTCGTACGAATTCGTATCCAATGTAACCGCCGCCTAACACTTTCAATGGCTTTTTAGGTGTTTTATGATACCGTTTCGACTTGTATTTCCAATTCTCCCGAGGAATAGGAGTTTGTGGTAGTCTTCGAGGTAATAAAAGGGTAAGATACTATTTTTTTGGAACTAGAAAGAACGAGTTTTATTTTATCTTCGATCCAACATAAGACAGCTGATACGGAAACTTATGAAGTCTTACCCTTTCTCGTGAAACGTCCCGATTGGATTCGCTTAAGGACATACATAGTTTAAAAAATATGTTTGAAATCTGTTTTTCGTTAACCAGCTGTCGCACCCCTACGAACGACAATCTCAGAAGTTGAGAAACTTGTGCGAGCTAAGGATTAAAGAGGTCATACCTTTTAACGTGTGACACACTTCATTAATATGTACTTACTAGAAGGTTAATATGACCTCTTCGGGTGGCAGTTTTCATAATTGCATCATGTTCATTAATATACTTTTATCATTTCTAGTTTGTCAAGTAATCCAGTTGGATTTAATGATTTCAGCTTTAAGAGAGGTGTATGTTTTATTTTGTTGTAAATCAGTTGGCGCCCTCTCATGCATTTTCTTGTCTATAATAATAATATAATAATAAGACCCACACTCAACTCCACTGAGATATTAGTCGGTGCATACACCTAAACTGTTCCATCGCTTACCACTCTAGAACCCGACATTTTCCAACGGTTTCAGTGAATAACAAAGAACCTAAAATAGACATTTGAAACATATTAGGGCTTAATAGAAACAGTCTGATTGTAACAAAGACAAGTCAAATCATCGACAGATACAACCTTCATGCTATTTCTTTCATACGAGATGCCTGTCAACGGGTGGAAAACCTGAAACACCAAATTTTAATGGAATTCAGCTTCTTGGTGAAAACTAAGACAATCAATTATTCTTATAAATTCTATCATACGGCAACAATTTTTTGCGAATGTAATTTAACGCGTTAGAAACCTCACCTTAAAAGGTGAGACCTCGTGAATCCTTGATTCGCACAAGTTTCGAATTCTAAGGGTTGTTGTTCGTAGGGGGGGGGCGACAGCTGGTAAACGGAAAAACAGATTTTAACAGAGAAACATAATTTTAACGAAAAAAAAAATATGAAAACAGGAGATTATATAAAATTATGTTTTTGAATCAAAACTTTTCATACGATTTTTCAAAGAGGGGGTTTTCAAATATCCATGTGACAAAAAACAATCCCTATCAAGTTTGACGTCAGTTCAACTTTCTCTTTTCATTAAAGTAACTGAAGTAGCTAAATCGGGCAACCATTTATAATGCTCACAGACACCTATTCCAGAAATATCTCTATCAGACAGCAGGACGTGAAGAAACATTCATTTTCATCTTGCGTGGCAGTGTCGCGTCAAACAGGAGGGATTGTGGGGACTGAACCGTACTTTCTAGAATTGCACAACTTTAAAAATATTTCTGTGTTTTTTTATGAAGATCACCATTGAAACAATGTTGAAGGTGATAAAATATTTATACAGGAGACTCATGTCAGAAGTCGTGAGTTGAAAATTAGGAATGGAAAAAAAAACGTCGCAAGAAAATCTCAAGGAAAAGCTCCCCTGAACCTTACCTCCTCTTTTATTTTCTTCGCAGTGAATGAAAATGTTGCTGAGTAGGATGTATTTACCATTGTATGAAAATGTTTGTTTGAAAATTTGTTTTGTTTGAGAATACTCAAATACATATAAATAATGTACAAGGTTTCCATCAATAACAGGTCCTTCAATTTCCTAAAATTTCAAATGGGAAAGTGATCATTCGACATGTTTTAAAGCTGGTTGAATTTCTTTCCAAAACGATCATCAGGTGAAAAAAGCACCTAAAAATTGTGAAAAGGTAGCCTAATACTAGTTCCATTTTGATGGAAGTAAATTTGCATTTGCAATTATTAGATCCAAAATATAGTTGATAAATTCTATACGTTTGTAAAATATTTTATTCAAACAAATTTACAACAAATTTTATAGATTCACCTCAGGATTCAATTATATATTATTAGTTCAGTTTCACTTGTATGTTCAACTTTTCAGTGATAAAATTGACATGAAAGAATTGAATAATTTTTATTGGAGAATTGGAAAGTGCGCTTTTCCTTTTATAAAACACATTCAAATTTTTATGTACCTACCTATGTCAAAGGTGTGTTCTTGATTTGATGGCAAAGTTTTCAGAAACTGATTTGGTAAAAAATTGTAAAATAAATCGAGTGGTACTGAGGTACTGAATGATAAATCTGAAATTTAGATTTAAAAACATTTGTTGAACTGATAAGTAGACAAACCTCTACCTTTTTTGAACAGGTTGAAGTAGCAAATAATGATTCAGTTTCATAGAAGGACTTCTCATTTTTAACAGGACCGTACTCTTCCTTATTATTTTCAGCCTGATACGACAATGATAAAAGAGATTTCTGAATGAATGGATTGACAGAATATCAGCCACTGAATGACCTCCAAGATCACCGGATTTAACACCTTTAGACTCTTTTCTATGAAAACAGTTTCAATATTTTGTATATGATACATAAACCGCTGATAATGGCGAGATCATAAAAGAAGAATTACAGCACATGGGGTTCAATTCCCGTTGAGTTTACCGAAATATTTCTCAGGACAAAGAGCAAATTTCGTTACACTCAAGAGTATAACAGAAAACATTTTGAACAATGACCAAATTAAAAAACAAACTTTCGAATTAAAGTTTTGCTCCAGTGCAAGGCTTGAAAATAATGTTACACATTCACATAGGTAAATTGCTTAACAACGAAAAGAATCAACAAAATAAGACGTCGTCTTGGTACACAATTTCTTCAAGAATCAACTAAAAAAGGATATGCATGACATAATAAAATCCACCAACAAAAATAAAATAAATGTTACTTGACCCCTTTCCTGGAGGTTGACCAGGAAATACTTGTTAAAAGTGACCTACTTAAAAGAGCATATAAACATTTTTCTATGACATTTCTTGAAGTACCTAGTTATTAATTATTTTTCAATTGTATTTGCAAAAATCGATTATTTCAAGTTGGTTCTACGACAGAAAGTCCTTACGAGGTGTAAAATGAAAATATTTTTAATATTTTTTCCTCGATTTTTACTTTCACTTTAAGGTAGTTTTCACATGGCAAATTGAACAAAAACGCTCGATTTTGAAAGTGCGCCTACACTGTTAAAAATAAAATTGAGGCATCTTCATTAATATGTACTTACTAGAAGGTTAATATGACCTCTTCGGGTGGCAGTTTTCATAATTGCATCATGTTCATTAATATACTTTTATCATTTGGTACATGTGAACCATCTCATCAGTTCATTTGAATAATTCAATTTCACCTCGACCATTTGAAAAAACATTAAGGTATATTTTGATAGCACAAAAATTATATTTTATAATGTCCACATTCAATTTTTCAAACTACTTGATATTGCTCATCAGAATATGAGAATCCAGAATTTTTCTGTTGTATTGACCAAAATGTCTTACCAATAACTCCCAAAACACAAAATATAATAGCACAGCAAGCAGCTAAAATTGTTGCTTCTCTAGGATACTTGATAGCACTAGTGTAATTCATCATGTGTTACTTTATTCTGCGGCACGATATCAATATCCAAGAAAAAGAACAAAACTAAAAAGGCCAATCCAGCAGAGAACCACATGCCGCACGCTACGCACTACGAACGGTTGTAAACATTACTTCACTCCACTTGTTTCCAATACCCACTGCGATGTTTGCGATTATTGCGATTCCTTCTCATCCATGTGCCCGATACAGAGGGTGGGGGATTGATCACAAATTTTGGTTTTTGAAATAGGACCCGTTGACACGATGAGTATCGGTTATAGAGGTAAGTATGTCTACTTAAATTTACTAATCTTTTGTTAAGGAGCTTTAAAAATACACTGTTTATTATGCCACTTATCGACAACCTTATCAGTTAACAGAATGAGAATCGTGTTGAGACATAAGAAATTTGAAAATTTAAACTAGGTACTTACGAGTTTACAAGGAGGACAATGAAATATATGACACTGGCGATATTCAAAATACGAGTAGATGTTGGAGAATGAATAATTGAAGAAAGAATAAAAACGATGGAAATGACATTTTCTAGTCGATAGTATATCAGCTATATAAGTAAAACAATAAAATTTTCCTCAGCTGACAAAGTTGGAGTATGGTTTCTATAGAATAAATTCAAAAATGAATCAAAACTCGTCGAGGGCGTCCTGTCACCTGTATTTTTTTTCAAAAGACTCAATTTGGAGTAATCAACATTCTGTCGAAAGCTGAAATTGCAACCCGGTAAATACCGTTGTAACAGATATAAATGCCACTTACTTACAGTAGGTACAGCGACAATACATTTAAAAACAAAGTGTAAATGATTTACGAAGGGAAATTAGTACAACTACCTTTATTAAAAAATTGAGTTATCTTAAATGTTTACGGGGTGTGTCTTCATAAAATTTGAGGTTATTTATTTGTCCAACTTCTCTATAGGTATGTCCTAAAGGTCTCAGATCTGGAATTCAGTGTGCTAAAGTTCTTTTTTTTTTCATAACTTTGCCATGATCCTAGATATTTTTGTGATTCATTCTTAAACTTCGGTTTGCGTTCATAAAAACAATAATTCATTGGCATCTCGCAAATTAACGCGATTCATTTTATTGCATTAATTAACTGCTGCTCATAAGAAATGATCACACAGGAAATAATCGAAACTATTGAGGTCCGAGGACCTAGGTAGCGGCCATACCAGTGGTCCTGCGTGATTATTGTAATTTGGATTTAAACCTATGGCTATTCAAATTTGAGTCTCTGTATGGAGATCTCGTTAATGATGAAAGCTCTTGAGTAGGTTAAATTGTGGCAGAGTTGTCTATTTTCCGATTCTACTAAATTCCCAAAAATTGACTATAGATTTTTTGCTTCCGAAGATACACGAGAAATTTAGAAATTTCATATATTTGCCAAATCTTTTTTATATTTAGAAATATCGGAAATCTATTCACACTTTGCCATAATAACTTCCATTGTAATATCAGAACATGATAATAAAATTTTCAGACATGGTAAGTAGTTGACTAATGCCGGTACTGTACCTCCTCATATTGACATGATGCAATGTGTCCTTGAATGACGCCACACGACCTTGAACTCTGTTATTTCGAATTGGCCTTCAATGACGTCACACAACTTTGAGTTGTGACCTCGAAGATGGAGCTTGACCTTGAGAACCTGCACTCAACGTCGGAGGGGGGGTGTCGGGTATGCTTTCATAAGAAGTGTGGTGAGCAGATAGTTGACGTGAGACGTCAGAACAAGGACACAACGATGTAAAGATTTATTGGCGTCCTGCTTTCGGCACTTTGATAGCGAAGTGTGTGGTTTACTCGATTCGAGGCACTTATACTTCGTAATGATGAGTTGTCAATAGCGGTTCCATTGGGCACTTATGTATTCAATTGATCTGTGCTCATGATACATGAATATCTCTGTACCTAATGTCGAGTGTCGAGTGGATTTTTTCCTTATAAATAATTCCATGAATGTTGTTCTTTCCTGAGTGTATGCCTTCACACATACCCTTCAATATTTTCCAAGGTCATTGTAACACTTTTCTGAAAGTTATTCAAGGTCTTTTTTGTGTACGGTATGTGTGCACGAGATAACCCCCACTCTCCTTGAAAGTCATTTCAAAACCACTATAATGTCATAATGGTGGAATAGCGGTTCAGAATTGTATGAGCTCGAATGCAAGGCGGCGAGAGCGCGTTTGAAGTAGGACGGTGCTGCGAGTTGCTATAGAAAACTTGATAATAGGAACCTTAAAAAAATTGAGAGAGATAAAGTGAAGCGATGCAAGACATAATTCGTATGCTTCAGATCACACTCTTCACCACTCGTGACGCCACATAATCTTGAGTCGTATGGCACATGGTCGTGACCTGAAGGTGTGGTGCGTTACTCCCCCTCACCACTCGTGTTTTCGCATGACTCTGAGTCTGACCTTGCGAAGTTTGATTCTGATATTTGTGGCGCATTCCACCACCCCTCGTGACTTTCCATGATTTTGTGTTAGGTCTTGATGTGTTAGGTCATGACGCCACAAGACCTTGTCTTTAACTTGGGGAAGTTTGACCTTGAATATTGACCTTGAACGGCTTATGAGGATTGACAGTAGGGTAGCAACCCTATTCTTTCGCCTGTGGCATAATGCAACCTTCCCCCACACCGTCACATGACTTCGATAAACATACCTTTTTTCCTCATGCTCGAAGTTTGGTGGTTACACATTCGGCTTGTGTAGGCCGAATAGGTCACTACCCAGTAAAAATATACTCTCATTGTTATTGTATTGGCATGATTGACGACAACTGTATAACATTCCTCCACTTACGACGCGATTCAATGTTTCTCCCACACACACACCAATACGAGTTGGCTATGGCGCAGGCATGACCTATTTGGGAAAGGGTTTACTTTTATGATAGTCATTTTAGGAAACTTTTCATTTTACATCATTTAGGTGAACCTGTTGAGATATGTGACCTTGAAATCGATGACCTGGTATGTGTGACCTCAATGAGAGAATTTATTTGTTAATGTGAAGATTTGATCGCGCCCAGATTCGAAAGTCATTTCTTAAGAAAAAAATGACCTAAATGGAGTTTGTTAGAGTGGATTAGACAGAGTTCTGCGAAAATCCCTCACCACTGCAGACGTCACATATTGTCAAAGGATCTTAACTATGACTTTGTTACATTCACTTTTGAACCAGGCTTCGAACGAATAGTGGAAGTAGAGGACGATGAAGTTGTGTCGATCCCGATCTACTTCCCCATTTCTCATCGGAATTATCGTTGTAAAATGCTGTTTCTGCTCAACAATGTGCATCGTATGGCAGTTGGAGACATACGTGGAGCCTCCTGTTGGATCCTTTATTCAAATGGGGATTAGCAGCCGATGCAGGTGTGCTCGGTTACGGTCAAATAAATCGGGTCGTGTATTAATGATCTACCATTTGAATTGCACTAGCCAGGTTATCAGTATTGTTGACAATACAAAATTACAGAAAAGATTCAAAAGTGGTGATCCGGGGATCGATCAGTTGGAGTTTGCGTGTAAAGAGCACGACATTACGTACTCCCAAATTCAAACAACCTTGCAGTCAGACACAGGGTGGACCAGAATCTTCAGGGATCCGCTTGGCATCGATTCAAAGCAAAAGACCCATCTTTCGGGGAAAGGCGGCTGCTCTACTGGTAACGATTATTATGAAGGGAAAACGTCGATTTGGTATGGGGTGCGAATCAACGGGACCCAAGCTCCGTGAACAGACGAAAAGGCGTGCCGTTGAAAAAAAAACAAAAAAAAATCGAATATCCGGAAGGTGGTAGCGTTTGTTTCTGGAATCGTCAAGAAAGTGAGCAATATTCTACACAAAGCAGGGTGCAAATATATTGAGGCTGCAATTGGGAAAAATAAAATTCGCACACGGCGAGTAATACCAGTTCCAAAAATTGGTGAAATTCTACCGCTCATACTAATTTTTGGCAGATTATCTGTCCTAGGTAGTTTAGCAATTGGGGGAGGCAAACCGTTCGGCGAGCCGTTCGGGGCTATATCTGAAGGCTTGAGATAGAAAAAACTTTCAGATTCGCTACCTCAAAAAGCTCTCTCTGACGTCAACCTCAAATATGCCAAGAAAATGACAATTTCGTATCTTCGTGGAGTATTCATGCATGACGATATGATAATCACCTCATGGATATAAATCAGCCATAGTCAACTTGGATGGTCGACATGGTCCAGGGATGTTTCGAGTAGCATACAGAAAAAGCGGTACCTTAGTAAAATACTTTCATAGTTTCAGTGGTTTACCCTCACCCAAATATTCGATCCGATTTTTTTTTCGTAGATTAAGAGCAGCCAATAATATTGAAGAAAAGAGAATTGAAACTTTATATGTTTTTTAGCGCTTTCATTTGTAACTAACGTTACTGCAGTTTCGTCCTATAAGGACATTTTCAAACTTATTCATTTATTTATAAGTTTGAAGCTGCACTTTCTCCTGCGATACCCCTGCGAAATATCCAAATACTATTGGATATTTGAAGATACTGAAAAAATGAATCTGCTTTTGTAGAATATTCCAAATGACATCCAGAATTTCTAAGGGACAGAAAATAATATGAAAAAATATAAAAAATTCAATTACGTCATTCTAAATTCAATATAACGGAATCCAAAAGGTTTTTAATTTTGTATGCACCCCTATAATACGGATATCAAATGAAAGGATTCAAGAAGGCAAAATCAAAATATCAGAGAACAAGATGGCTGCCATACCAATTTTACACAGTTATATTTCGACAAAGGTTAGGGCAAAGGTTATAAAATCCAAAAACAAGCACTTTTTCCAATCACCAGAAATGCAATACTCTTCTCGACGCACGTTTCACCAACCATGTTGGAATTAGGAATTAGTATACATTCTTCATCCCCTGATGACCCCGTTACGTCTTTAGATGTGAATAAGAAGTTTTAGAGTTAGAAATTAGTTTTCTTTATTTGTTGAAGACGCCAACTTGGTTGGTGAAACGTGCGTCGATAAGAATTTTGCATTTCTTGCGATTGGGGATAGTGCTTGTTTATTGAATTTCAGACAGTTTTAATTTATTCTATGGACGTTCTTCAAGGCTTGTTGAGAGACACTAGTTCTTGTCTGGACTCTGAAATTGTATATTTGCTACGTGTTCTTTGAAACGAGTTTTATTAGCACGTCCTCACAGCTTATATCAAATATCCCCGACTCTTCATTTTCCAACATCTTGTCTTTAGAGTTTGTTGTAGTAAGCAAGAAGTTTCAAAGACTGCTTTTACGTTAACTTTTTCAAAATTCGATCTAATTCAT